ACCATCTATTTGGTAGCTTTAGGGAAGTTGGTTCCTAAAAGTTGTTTCTTGTTTGTTGTCAAGTGTCTTCCAGGCTATTCCAACTCATAGTCATACTGTGTAGAGTTTCCAAGTATCAGTTGATGTGTTTGAACCACTGGCCTTGCAGTTCATATCAATCTTATGGTTGAGTGCTTATCCTACAGCACCACACCAGGACTCCACAGCGCTACAAAATGGTGTATTCCTTTTTAATTTTCTACTGGGGAGGTTCTTAGTGAAGTAATGATATTTAAAATTTTCCTAATACCTTAACTTTGTAAAGTGAATGAAGTATTAACTCAGCAACAGTTTCTAAAATTTTCTGTTAATATGACCACAATACAATTCAGGATGAGCTCTGGGATTATTTAGTTTGCATTTGTGTTGCTTTACCAAATATAAGAAGGTAATTATAACATAGAGAAAAATTTATGTTCATAAGGTACTGCTTCTTTTGAAACTGGGACATAAGACTTTATAATTTTTGTTCACTGTATTAGTTTTCTATTGCTTAACAAATTACCACATACTTAAACAACACCAAATTTTTATCTCACAGTTTTTGATCTGCAGAAGTCTAGGTGGACTCAGGCTAGGTCCTTAGGGTCTCTCTCAAGGCTAAAATCAAAGTGTGGACAGGGCTACTACATTCCTTATTATTAGTGTCTCTGGGGAAGTCTGTTTGAAGCTCATTCAGTTTTTAGCTGAATTTAGGTTCTTCACCTGAAGTCTATCTTTCTTACTGGCTGTCAGCCGGGAAGGCTGGTTGTTTTCTTAGAAGCTGGAATGCTTTTTTGTGTGTCCACTTTCAGTAATGGTGGTTCAGGCTCCTCTCATGCTTTTAATCTCTCTGATGACATCTCTTGAGTCTGCCAGAGATGGGGAGATTCTTAGTTTTCACTCTTACAGGTTCAAGTATTTAGACTCAGATCATTCAAGATACTATCCCGATTTAAAGGAGCTCTAGTAGCGTAGTGGTTACGAACCGGGCTGCTAACCTTAAGGTTGGCAGTTCAAAACTACCAGCCATTCCTCGGGAAAAAGATGAGGCTTTCTGCTCCTGTAAGTCTTACCACCTCAGAAACCCGGTGCCGGGTCACAATGAGTGGGAACCAACACACAACAACAACATCCTTTATAGGATCGATAATCACGCATCTATAAAGTCCCTTTTATCCTGTAATGTAATGTACATAGGGCAGATGGAGAGTTGGGATAAAGAACGGCAATCTATCCTTTACTACACTCATATACTCCTGAAAAGAAACATGATAAATTATGAACTCTTGAGTATTTCTAAACTTATTTCTCAATTTCTTAACACAAGTTTAAATACCTTCAAAGAATGTAATTTCTGGCTTTTCTAAATATTCACACCACTCATAAGTACTCAAATACCATAGTGATTTGACACTATCATTTGTTTAAGAACAAACTCAATTTATCTTCAGCAGTTAGAAATTTTCATTGTTCCTTATTATTAAACTCTTAAATTCTTCCCTCTTCTCCAAAATAATTTTACTTGGATCAAGTGGGGGTTTTTGTTTTGTTTTGTTTTCATTTTAAAGCTTTTTTTTTTTTAATTGATCATACTTCTTTTCAACAAATGTGTGTGTATATAAACAGTGTTGCTTAGTGGTTTCCCCCTTGTTTTCACGAACTCTTCCATGAAGACAGTGCATTTTTAGACAGTATTTGGGGAAAGAAAGTTATAAAAATCATTGAATGAAAATTGCTATGATTCTTGTCATTACACCGTACCACACAAACAAAAACCCCCAAAGCCACCGCTGCCAAGTCACTTTCAACTCAGAGTGACATTATGGGACAGAATAGAGCTTCACAGGGTTTCTAAGGCTTCAAATCTTCATAGAAGCAGACTGCCCCTTTGTTGTTGTTGTTGTTGTTGTTTTTAAGTCTGGTGCATTTCAACTGCAGACCTTTTGGTTAGCAGCCCAGTACTTAGCACATTGTGCTACCAGAGTTCCTTACACACTGTGCAGTATATCTGAATTCAAGATATTCCTAAACACAGGACAAAATGCTTTGCCTTTAATAGAAGTTATGCTTTGCCTTTGGCAGAGAAAATCGCAAGGAGGGTTAATGATAACATTTATTATTGGAAGGTTTAAGAACTTTTGTTTAAAGTTTTTAACCACTAGAAGCAATACATTGTAATAAGTTTTAGAATGGGTGAGAGGTATGACTTCTTTTTGAAAAGTCGGACAGTGAGGGCATAGGGACAATAGTAAGATTGTTTTTAGGAAAGCAGGGTTTTTAAGAAAAGAACTTGAAGGTAGGGAAATGTACTTTCTTAAAACTGTCCTGAGTAACCACTCATCTAGTAGTTGAAAGGTAGATTGGTGGTTCTAACCCACCCAGAGGAACCTTGAGGGAGCACCAAATACCATACACCTTGAAAACCATATGAGCAATTCTGTTCTGTATATGTGGGGTCACCATGAGTTGGCATGAACTTGACAAGTAACATCATCATCATCCCCAAATATCCCTTGAAAAACCTTATTGTACACTTAGTAATACACATACCCTGGGTTGAATGCTGCCACCTTGTAAGATTGTCCCCTTCTGCATAGGTCCTGTCCCATGGAGATATGCCAGTTTTTCTTTCTACCATCCACGCTTGCCCTTGAGCATGTTTGACTCTTCTTAGCCCATATCCAAGAGAGGATTAATTCCTTTCACACTAATGTCTGCCCTTACCGCCCTGTTTCTGGGCACTGTATTTGCTTTTTTTCAGTATACTTCATATAGCAGTCTTTGTATTCTTCAGTAGAGATCCTACCCACAGGTCAGTTATATCCAAATAGAAGAAATATACATACACTAGGTTAGAACTCCTGGTGTGGCACTGTTGGATAAGCACTGGACTATAAATCACAAGATCGGCAGTTCAAACCCACCAGCTGCTCCTCTGATACCCTATACAGGGTTACTATGAGTTGGAATCAACTCAGTGGCACTTAATAACAAAAACAACAATCTCAGCGCAGGGTGTTGTTGTTGTTAAGTGTCATCGAGTTGGTTCTGACCCATAATGACCCTGTATAGGGTTTCCAGGTAGCAATTGGTTAGCTTGAACTGCCAACCTTGTGGTTCAAACCAACTTTGCAGTCCAGCACATTAACCCACAGCACCACACCATGATTCCTAATGCAGAGTGGTGGTGGTGAAAGAAATTTCTTACATCTGTGTCTTTGAAGTTTCTGAAAAATCACAACAACAACAACCCAAAAAACCTACAAAAGCAAATTTCTTATTTTTTGGACCTTAGATGACTAACTTTGCAAGTGTAACATAAGGAGTACAGGCCAAATTATCTGAATAGCTTACTCTGGATGCCCTTACCAGAGGTTGAAGGTAAGATGCGAAGCTTGTTTTCATGTTTTCTAGGGTATGTGTTCTTGATCTGTTGTTAGCAACTACTGAAATAAGCATATAAACATTGCCATACAATTAGGACAAACTGAAACCATACTTAGAAAGTAAACATTTCATTGAAGATACTAGTTTTCAGAAATATGTCTCTACCTTGAAAATATGTACCTTTATATTATTCCACAGAGCCATTTGTTCTTGAAATTGCTGCTCTGTTGATAGTCCCCATTTTCATTTGTATAACTAAATGGCCTATCAGGTCCTTTTTTCTTTAAAGAATGTCTGTAGATAAAACAATTTTGTTGCCAGGTTTGAAATGAGAATTTTTCTAGCTTCTGGCATTGACATTAAAGTTTCAAACATTAAAGTTATTCAGCCAACCTTACTCAAAGTGTAACCTCTCTTTCTAACAGTCTGTGCAATACGGAAATTTGCCAGTTCTTAAGTGGCCTGCCTGGCTGTGGGAACCCAGCCCTGAAGTAATAGTAAAGTCGGCTTTCCCTCTTAACTGTCTTGCCTCCTGGATCATTGCCTTTTCTCAGTGCAGTTGGTAACTGAGTTTTCTGCCAAGTTCTTGCCCAATCTTACCTTGGATACTGTGACTTACATAATGATATAGCACTGACAACAAAATCTATAATCTCAGAATTTCAATGCATGGCCTCTGTAGTGACATTCTATGTATTACCTATCATTTCCTACCTCCCAGTGTCTCTTGTGATTAAAACAACGACAACAACAACAAAAACTTCATTTTTTCTTTTTCCATGTTTCACCAAGGTTCCATTTCCCTACTTCTCTCCTCATACTATTGTGCCTCTGCTAATGTTAGCCATGTGCTAGGAACTTAACAACTTTACCACATAATAGAATATCTTCCTGGAGCATTGAAGCTTTGAAAGGAACCTTAATATTTCTATTAAATGATAGAATGCAAGATTCACATGCATTTTTAAAGATATAAGGGAAATATTTTTAAAAACTGATACTATGATATAGTTGTCAAGTTGATCTTTCTTATAGTAACCCATGTAACAATAGAACTGTCTCATAGGGTTTCCTGGGTTGTAATCTTTATCTGGGATATTTGGTGGTGTTATGGCTAACGCACTTGGGTGCTAACCAAAAGACTAGCAGTTTGAACCCACCAGTTGCTCTGTAGGACAAAGATATGGCAGTTAGCTTCTGTAAATACTACAGCCTTGGAAACCTTGTGGGATAGTTCTGCTCTGATCTATAGAGTTGCTATGAGGTGCGATTGACAATCAAACTGATGGCAAACCAACTTGATGGCAGCAGTCTTTTTGGTTGCTGTTTTTTAATCTTTATAGGAGAAGATTGCCAGGTCTTTTGTCCTGTGGAGCAACTGCTAGTTTTGAACTGCTGACCTTTCAGTTATCCATCTAGCACTTAACCATTAGCATCACCAGTGAATTGAACTGCATGAAACTATTTAGATTTCACTGGGTTAATGAGGTCATTCTTTTTTGCCTATTCTTTGTCCTAGGGATACTTAAATGGAAATGTAAGGAACACTGCTTACTTGCTGGGAGCTGAGGAATTTCTAGAGTGAATAAGTCTCATGGCTCACCAGCTAGAAAGGTAAGAGATTTAAAATTTTTAATGTAGAAATGTCTTTTTTATTTGGTGATTGTCTTCTAAATGTTACTGAGTTCAGCAGGTATTTCCCAAATATTCGTCCTCAGAATACTAGTGTTCTTTTTTAACTTTTTATTGTGAATTAAGTGAAGGTTTACAGAGTAGATAATCAGTTTTATGTTCAACCAATCATACACTTTGTTTCATCTCAATGATTGCAATCCCCTTAATGTAACATTACTTATCTACTTCCTCCTTGTGTTTCTTATATTCATTCTTCTTTCTTTACCAACCCTTCTGAACTTTATCCTTGGATAAATACTGCCATTTTGCTCTTGAATGGCTGACCATTCTATCATGTTGAATACTTTGCTAGTGTTTTCCTCCTTATATACCACTCTATTGCTTGGCTGAAAATTGAGCCACAGTATTGTGTTCTGTTCTAGACTTGAAGGGTGACCTAAGGCCATAGTTTCAGGGTACCACCAGTCTCGCTTTAACTAGTAAGCCTGATCTTTGTTTATGATTTTGAGTTTTGTTCCACATTTTCTTCCACTGTAAACCAGAACCTTCAAATGTGATCCCTTTTAGAGCAGTTGGTAGTGGTAGCCAGACACTATCTAGTTCCTATGGTGTCAGGGAGACTGATGTTCATATGTTCCATTAGCCTGTTGAACTAATTGATTTCAAGTACCTTCAATTTTTGTCACTTCACTCTTTTTTCCTCCAGACAGGGAGAAACAGATAGTTGCACCTTAGATGGTCACTCATGAGTTTTGAAGATCCCAGTTGCTACTCACCAAAGTAGGATATAGAACACGGTTTTTGTGGACAAGGTTATGCCAGTTGACCATGATGTCTCCAATACTATGATCCTGAGCCCCCAAGGTGTTTGGTAATAATAAGAAGTTTCTGTAACTTTACCCTCTGTATACTCTACCACATTCATGGATGTTTGCAGCAAAGGTAAATACCCCTATACAAATAGCCTCTGTCAAACCTTTATATATGTGTGAGTACACTCCTACTTTCCTTCCCACACCTGTTCAGCCTGCTTATCCATTCTTGCATCTGTCGTAGATCACCCTTATTGCAGGATTGTGTACATACCAGTATTTACCTCTGTTGTCTTTAACTCTTACATTTCTCCCCGTGTCTTCCCATGCCTTCATCATTCTGCCAGCTCCTTTTACCCATGTTAACATGTGTCTACCCTCTAGCCAACGAATTCTTCTTAAGTTTAAAACAGTTTGTTCTGTCTTGAAATCAACTTGACGCCTCACCTTTTGGAAGTACACTGTTTCCTCTTTTTGCTTTCTTGTTTTCATTACAAATTGATATCTCTGGCTCCCTATTTTCAGTTCCATAGATTCGTTTTACCTTGGCTACTTCTATATCTGGGTTGACTTAGGGGTGGTGATGCCACATATGTTAATCTCAGGTTGTCAGTTGTTGTTTTCTGTCCAAAGAATTACCTTTTTTATAAAGTTGATCTAGTAATTACAAATCCCTTTCATTTCTGTATACCTGGAAATAGTCTAAATATGCCCTTATATTTGAGGGACAATTTTGCTGGATATATGATTCTTGACTGGCAATTTTTTTCTTCCAATATTTTATGTCATCCCATTTACTTTTTGCCTACGTAGTTTTTACTGAGAAATCAGAGTTTAGTCTTATTGGTTTCCCTTTGTAGGTAACTTCTTGTTTTTCCCAAGTTGCTCTTAGAACTCTTTCTTTGTCTTTGGTTTTGAAAAGTTTGGTTATAATAAATCTTGATGATTTTCTTTTGGGGTCTGTGCTGTTTGAGGTTTGTTCAGCTTCCTGAATACTTATCCTCTTGTATTTAATGATATTAGAGAAATTTTCTTCCAGCAATTCTTTAACACTTTTCTTTGTGTGAATTTTATTTTTTAATTCTTCTTTTCGGGAATTCTGATCACTTATAAATTGTTCCTCTTGATGATGTCCAACATAATTCTTAAGTCTTTTTCTTAAGAACAATTTCTGATTGTTCTTCTAGCAGACGAATAATGAGGGGATTGTTCTCAGGTTCATGAATTTAGATTTCCACTGATTTAAATCTATTCCTTTGCCCTTTCACTGAATTATCCATTTCTGAAAAGTTAATGATCTTTGGTATTTCTATTTGTAGGTATTTGTTTTATTATTATTATCATTACTTTATTTATTTCGTCAGTTTGTTCTTAGAGTGTTTTCCTGAATTGTTCTAAAATTTCTTCCGTGTTCTGTTTGCTTTCATCTGTAACTTATTTGATCTTTCTCTCAACCCATTGAAGGTACCTAACTAAATACCATTCCTTTGAATTGTTTATCAGGTAGTTCCACTACCATTTCTTCTTTGGAAAGTGTTTTCTGGCTCTGCATTTTGGTCAGTTGTTTTGAGTTACTCCGAATTGTTTCTGTGTATGAACTGAAATTGTCTGTTGTCTTTGAAACATTGTGGTGGCATTTTATTTAATTGTTGATTGTATCGTGGTGTAGTCTTAGGCATTTACCACCTGCCTCATGGTGGGTGAGATAGAGGATGGAAGTTTGTGCATAGTTCTCTGTTCACTCTTTTTGTAGCACAGTTCAGGATGGATTTGGCTGGTGCGGGCCACTACCTAACAGTGATCAGGCTGTGCAGGAGCTGGTTTATGAGCCTTGTGTAGTAGGTGGAACTGCAGTGAGGGCATTGTGGGTAAGTGGCATGGGCACAGCTGCTATCTTCTGTTGGGAAGGGCCAGAAGAAAACACATACACAGACAAAGGACAAAACAACAGCAATAAATAAATAATAATAAAGGAGAAAAGAAACAAGAGAAGCAATTAACAGGCAGCAGCAAGAAAAAAGGATATAATAACTAAACAGAGTAAAAGAAGTCCTAATATGGTACTGTAAGATAAGCACTGGATGGCTAACCATAAAATCAGCAGTTCAAACCCTATACAGTGTCATTATGAGTTGGAACTACTTTGATAACATACAACACTAACCACAAAAAGAGAAAAAAGAAGGAACTTAAAACGGGAAATAAAACAAAAAAACACAGTAATTAATACTAGGGAGAAGGAAGAAGAAAAGAGAAAGAGATAAGAATAGTAAAGAAAAATCAGGAGGGGAAAAAAATAAAAGGAGGGAAAGAAAAGAAACAAGAAAAAAGGAAAGTGAAGAAAGGAAGGATAAATAAAAGAAAAACAAAATAAGGAAAAACTAAGATGGGCTGGACTCAAAGAGAAGAAAACTATGGAGACATAGTATCCGATATGGGTTGATTCTCTCTGCTGGCCAAGAAGCTCATGAGGACGGGTGACTGCATGCTTTAGAAATAAAAGGTTATATATAACATTTGTAGTTCTCTGTAGTACTGTAGGATAAGCACTAGACTGCCAAATAAAAGGTTGGCAATTCAAACTCATTAGCCACTCTTTGTTGTTGTTGTTATTAGGTGCCATAGAGTTGGTACTGATGCATAATGACTCTATGCACAACAGAACGAAACACTGCCCAACCCTGGGCCAGCCTCACCTCACAATTGTTGCCACGCTTGAGCCCATTGATGTGCCACTTTGCCAATCCATCTCGCTGGGAGTCTTCCTCTTTTCCTCTGACCCTCCACCTTACCAAACATGATATTCTTCTCCAGAAACTGGTCCCTCCTAACAATATGTCTGAAGTATGAGAGACGAAGTTTGGTCATCCTGGCCTCCAAGGAGCATTCTGGTTGCACTTCTTCCAAAACAGATCTGTTGGTTGTTTTGGCAGCCCATGGCACTTTCAATAGGTTGCTTTGAGTTGGAATTGACTCAACTGCACTTAACAGTAACAACAACCAACTAGAGAGTCAGTCAAATTTTCACTTTAGAATCTAGAGCTTTCTGAAGTTAGTCACCAGAAGTTGATTTACGTTCTCCCTCTTTTTAAACAATTTATGTGTCTAATTTCTGTAAAGTCTGTTGGTTTCCTTTTTGTTTATCTTTGTTAGAGATGTAGGAAAACAAATGTTTCTATTAGCAGAATCATTTGAATAATAGAATTTAAAATAGCATTGGACTACTGATACTGTAGCTTAGAATCATCTATTTTGCTTAACAGATTTGACCCACATTTCATAATAAAGACTTAGTGGATAGTATCAAACAATTATTTATCTGATAGGATCCACTGAGTCGTATTTATTCAAATATGGAAATTGTTCCACTAGAGTATGATTTTATTTAACCTATTTTATAATGTGGAAATTATAAATGGGGAGCAAGTAGAAAACTGATATATTTTGTAGGGTATGATGCTAATTATACAATCATTATATAACAAATTACTTCAATAGATATTATTTAGATGCAACTGAAATTTTTCCTTGTTAAGTTTTTTTTTTCTGGTGTCCAACAGAGCTTTTATTTGTATGGAACAGTTTTAAAAATACAGAACAAAATAGCTTTGTCTCTACTATTATTCACAACATCTGGTCCAAATATTACATATATTTAAAAATACTTAAATGCTTAATGAAACCATGTTTGAAAAACAATATGAAAATTCTTTTTAAAAACTCCATAAAAGAATTACACATCTCATAAAAACAACCCCATCTCAGATACCCTTGGTCTGCAAAATAAAAAAACAAAACTATAACAAAAATCCCAGAAAGTCAGTCAAAAAACTCAAGGAAAATGAAGTCATCCCTACTGTTTTAAGAACAGTCAGTAAATGCATTAATGCATCAAGCAAAAGTTGTCATAAACAAACAAAGCAAAATATAGTAATTGGAACTGTCAGTAAAATGACAACACTGGAAACACAGCAATTCTGCAGCGGCTGGAGGGTGTGGATGCCGAGGGATGAAGAGACACAACCAAATGGCAAATCATAGGACTCCATGACATCAAGTGACTTGTTCCCTTTTCCGACGCCCTTCTTCTTCCTGATTCATCTTTCCTTTGGTGTACCTGGGATGGTATTATCCAAAATAAGAGCCACGCAGCCTCCTACAAACAGC